GAGAATGTATTCTAACTCGCTTAAATAAAGGGCCTCAGAGAGCCTAACGGATCGTTATTAGATCAGGCACCACCCTCCCACCACCCCTCTTCCTGCCGCACCCATCCCTTCTCACCCTCGCAATAATCCATAAAATGTAACATTCTCATTCTCTCTTTTCTATATAGATAACCAATTATGTTTTGCTACTATTGGTCTCTGTTATTCCTTTCTTTTTTCTTTTTCTTCTCCAACCCTCCTCCCCTTCCTCTTCACCATCAGAAAAAGGTTGCGTTTATTCAGTTTGGTTCATCTGCACGGAACGAAAAGTGGTATTCTCTTCTATCATTTACGAATTTTGTCTGTCTATTCATTTATCGTATTTATCTACTTTAATAGGTTGGCGAGTACTACGTGGGGGGTGTGTTATGCGTGCGTGTGTCTATTGGTTTACATTAGATTGTATTGTGAACTACAAAGAAATATCATCGAATTATATTTGAAAGATCTAAATTATATTATAAGATAGCACATATTATTATTATTATTATTAAAATATTTTTACGACACAATAATATATAATAAATAACAAATTGTTAATAATTATCAAACGATCATCTAATTAATTGTGACCTTACAAAAAATTGATAAAACAACATTTCTACGATTAAAGATTTATTCGCAAAAGCAAAACAAAACAAAACAAAAAATAGAAATAAGGGATGAGATAGAAAATTGAGAATGAGAAATAGAAATAAGAAATAAGAAGTGAAGAAGAAAGAAAGAAAGAAAGAAATAAAGAAAGAAAGAAAGGGCCCTTTGAAAGTACATAACGCCTCTACGCCGGGCGAATGGCTACTTCGGCTCGTTGAAGGAGGCACGCAATGGCCACCGTTACCCCCTCACCACCCTCCCCTTCGGTTATCCATGAGCGCCTCTCCTCCACCTCGCTTATGCCCGACCGGGACGCGGCGGCCATTATAAAAATAACTGCTGATTGGACGCCCTACCAAGAAAAGTCGTAATCGCATCCTGAAATGCCTCTTCCCTTCCCTCACCCTCACCCTCACACTAGTTTAACATACATACACATATACAGACAACAAATACATTCATCCATCAACACAACTCTCAACCATCACACACAACTATTATTGCAACTATATACTTGTATACTTTAGTTTCTATCTCATTCCTTCTTACACACACACACATACACACACATACACAGACAAATATATTCGCTCTTATTTTCATTCTCTTTACTTTATTCCATCCGTTCTTCCTCCCCCTACCTCTTCAACCCCCTATTCTTCCGTTTTACTCTCATTTACTATGAAGTCCTCCGTGTCGGAAACAATGAAACCTTTTTTTCTTATTCTTAGTCTTCATTCCATCCTTTTTTTATTTTTTTATTTTTATTTCTCCGTTTCCTCTTCGTTCCTATTCATTTGAAATATTATCGGAAAAAAGATTCTTAAAAAGAAAAAAAGGGGTTGATAGAAAAGAAATGTTGGTATTCTTGATTTATTTGAAACGATACTTGTCATGTACGAAGAAATTCATAGAAATGAGAACACTAAATGAAAGAGGGATGATCAAGTATAATTTTAGATCATGTTCTTATCCAGTCATTTAAATCACTGACAAAATACTCTACGATTAATCATATATCATATTCGAATTATGTTCATGAAGAGGGATGATCAAGTATAATTTTAGATCATGTTCTTATCGGTCGTTTAAATCACTGACAAAAATACTTCACGTTTTAAATGTATTCATGCAAATATAAAATATATTACATTTATGTTTAGATAAATTTTGTTCTTTTAAAAATAATTAAATATAAATATGTAAATATAAACCTGTAAGGTGAAGTAAAAGAAAAGAAAAGAAAAAAAAAAATTTGTTTAAAATGAATAAATATTATGTATAGATAGATATTGTTAAGTTGATATAAAGAATATGAGTAAGTATCGTAGATATATTTAAAAATACTCGTTTTTTTTATGCAATTGCGATAAGTCAAATGATACATTATTACATTTGTAACAAAGAACTGACTACTGGTATGATGTAAAGCATGTATTATATTATCTATGCAATGTATGTATGTATGTATGTATACATACATACATATATATTATAAGGGTTCTTTCTAATCTATTTAAACTCACATGAACATTCGTTTCCTTTTGAAACAGTCCGATTAGTATAACTCCTATCGTCTTTTGTTTTTTTTTTACTTTTGACGTTTCCCACGCTAGTAATATACTCGAGTCATTCTAGTTTCTTCCTTATTCGAATTAAACAATATAAATAAGTAGAAATTTTTCCTTTAAAAAACAAATAATAATAACAACTAATCTATATACTAATTGTAAGTATTATCTTAAAACATTGAAATGAAATGTTTTATTTTATTTTATTTTATTTTATTTTTTTTTATTTTTAATAAATAAAAAACTTCTTGGTTTGTGATATTTCAAAACTCATTTTAACTATCGATATAATAGTAAAATAATTTTTATATATATATATATATAATTATTGTGTACCAAAATGGCGTCAAGTAGAAATTGCATTGTACTACTGTATTATATATTTATTATCGAACGAATGAACAATGTTGACCACCCAATGAGTTATAGTAAAATATAATGCAAACGTCGTTTCTTAGTGCAAAAAAAAAAAAATATTTAAAAATAAAAAAAAAAGAAGAAAAAGGGCCAACGTGGTTTTATCCTTTAGCCAATGAATAGAACGAGAAAATAAGAAAATGCATGAGTAAGAAAGAAAGAGAGAGAGAGAGAAGAAGGGTACGCCATTTTGCTTGCGAGGAGCATACTTTTATCGCTGCGCCCTACATAGAAGCATTAAAGGCAACTTCGACGGGGCGCGTATATCAACGATAATTGTAGGGCCAATAATAAAGCCGGAGGGACTACGCTCGATAGCCCGAAATTGCTGGTTCCCCTACCTCGCGGACGCGTTTTATTGCCTCTCTCGCAGGAATATGGCGGCAATTCTCTCTCTCTCTCTTTCTCTCTCTCTCTTGTTCTCTTTCTACACCCTTCGTCCTTCTCGATGGCGGATAAACGATCCTGCGATACGCCATCGGTGTACTCTCAAAGTACTTTACTTCTCCCTCTTTTTTATTTCTTCAAATTAGAATCTTTGAAAATTACCTAAACGTATTATACTGTGTTATGACTAATTCTTTTTTGTTTTAGTTGTTTGTAAAAAAAAAAAAAAAAAAAAAACGATATTTTACTGTATAAAATTAAATTTGATAGATTTTAATAGAATTAAAAGGATAGATTTGTCACGAAGATTATTTCAAGATATTATCGTACGAAGTTTTTAATGGATACTTGACGCCATTTTGGTACACAATCATTTCAAATGATGCACACTTTATAAAAGAAAATTTAATATGTTTGTAATTACATGGAAAACTCATCGTTGGTCTTTCTCAATGAAAATAATCTTCTATCCTTTGACACAACCCTTAAGAAAATGCTGTCAAAATTTTCAATAATGTTAATGTGAATCAAACTACTTTTAAGTTAGGATGTGATAAAATGATCTTTGAATTTAAAAATGAAGTCCAATAAGAAAATAAAATGAATGAAACTCGTGTCAAGAGAAATAGAAAAAGAGACAAAAGTTTCGATTGGTTAACAACATTAGCCACTACTGGTTTTACCCATCATCTCGTTTACTCGTTTATTTACCGGTGCTGTGTTTGACGGTTGTGTACTGGTTGCTGTCAGATTACACCGACGCGAAACGTATTCTACACTCTTCTACTGTATTTCTACTTCTACTCTAACTCAAGGCCCACAACGAGAAAGAGAGAAAGAGTTTACGAGCAAGTTTACGTTTACGCGATTCGAACGCGCACGATAGTCGCTCGCGAGCGCAATGCTCTTGTTAACACCCCGTTAACTCGACCCTCGGACAGGCTCGTAAAATTGGATGGCTCGGAGACTACCATACTTGGTGGTGGTTGGTTGGTTGGTTGGTTAGTTGGTTACTTCGTTTGGTAGTTGGTTAGTTCATTGGTTGGTAGACGAATTTTTATTAAATTTTCTATACATTGCACCATAACAACCCCCTTTTTTATCATAATTCAAAATTTATTTTATAATAGGCTTGTTTTATGTCTAATATTTTCATTTATATTATACTTGTAATATCAAACTCACCCCTGTGTATAAAAAATTAATAAATTCATTGTACAAAAATAACTAAATTCATGCAGCATAAGGTAATGTAATATTGTAACTAGAAAATGAGATTAATTCGTAATAAGTTCGCACCCTTACGAATAAAACAACCCTCTTACTCTTACGTTTTTCTTTTTCTTATTTCTTTCTTTCTGTATTTCTCTCTTTGTTCGTTTAAGTTCTCTTTCGTTTTGTCATACCACCTGTGATGTTCGCAAAGAGAGCTCGTAAAAAGCGTGTGCCGTTCGCGTGATGCTCGCGAATTCGTTACTGCTCTTGTTAACGCCCCACCTCCTCCTCCTTCTTCTCCTCCTTCTCCTCCCTTTAGCAGCCCTGGGCAAACCTCGTAAAATTTCAGCGGTTTGCGCAGCCTCGTACGTAAAACCATCGACGAATTTGCCGTCGTGTCCATCACGCGACGAATGAGGAACGCTCTTTGGTTACTACCCTTTCCATCCCATCCCACCCCACCCCCTTTCACCTCCTCTTAAAGAAATTTTCCCTTTCCGCCCTTAATAGCATTTCTTTTCTTTTTCTTTTTCTTTTTCAACATTTCGTGTAAATTACCACATTGTCTTTCCTGTTCAATTATTTTTGTTCTTTTTATTATTATTGCACTTTAAACCCATTTTTTTTATTTTTTTTTTATAGGACCTTTTTCTGTTTGTTAATAAATAATTATTGCATTTTGCAGAATGCACACAGATAATTCTAATTGATTTAATTGTTGTTTTTTTTTTCTTAACAGATATGTTGATAATAATTTGATTGATGTTTTTGTTACAGGATCACCGATAAATCGATTACCCATAATGGCTAAATCAGTATTGGATCTTTACGAACTTTTTAATCTCGTGATAGCTCGTGGCGGATTGGTTGATGTTATTAACAAAAAACTATGGCAGGAAATCATCAAAGGTCTACAACTACCATCCAGTATCACTTCCGCCGCATTTACTTTACGCACGCAGTAAGTAGACCGTTGAATTTCTATTCTTAATCTTTTACAAATGGGATTTCATCTTTATAATTGTCTTCTTAAAAAAAAAAAAAAGGGGTGTGACACTAATACTACTTCATCACCAATCCAATTCGATTTAACGATTTTACAATTATTATTATCCTTTCATTTTTTTTTTTTTCAACCAACTTATAATAATCAAAGTTAAAACAAATGTTTGTTGTTTCAAATGCAATAAAAGTTTGCATCTTATAAAATTCAAACAATTTTCAAATATTTCGTAATAATAATAATAATAATAATGAAAGTGTACAAGTTATATTTAAACATTGAAATATCAGAATACATTTTATATTTAACTTTAGTATAATTTTAAACAAGAAGAAGAAAAAAAAAATGACAGACACACACGTGGCTAACTAGCACAAATGAGAATGATTATTCACGTTTAATTAAAACTAAACCAATCGTTCGTAATTTCGTCGTTGTTAACATAAAAAAGAAAAAAATAACTTCACTCGTGAATAAAAACTGTAAAAACGTGTATTCTCACTTAACCATCCCTCATTTTTTTTCTCTACCCCCATCTCTCTCTCTCTTTTTCTCTTTTATTCTCACATACTTTAAAACGGACGGTGACAAACGCACCGTGTAATCGGATTTGGACGGATTCTCGGAAGGTTTTTCAAAACTTTTTCTCGAGTTAGTAGAAACTACATTCATTCACGCATACACATATACAGATACACACTTATATTATTAACACATACGTTAAAAGAGGTAAGAAAGGAGGAAGAGGAAGAGGAAGAGGAGGAGGTGTACACATACGAGGCGTGAAACGAGATGAACGTATAATCGATTCGATTGCCACCAATCTTTCCTCTTATTCTCTCATTCTCTCTTTTTTCATTTTCTATCATTCATTTTATCTCTTTATTTATCTCTTTCTCTTTTACAAGACATTACGCTAGTGCCTCCTCTATGACCGGTTAGAGGAATGATGGATGTACCATCGAGAGACGTTCACGTCGCCCACCACGAATGTTGAGAAGTTATTTTCGCGAGCATATGTGTTCCCTTAAAAAAGAAAAAGGGATAAATAAAGTTACAGAGAGATATAGTTTTCTTTTAATTCAATTTTAAAACCATTCCTCCTACCCCACCTTCACCCACCACCTTCCTTCCTTTTCTATCTCACACATGCATATTCTATTCGTTTGATTCCTTTCCCTTTTTTATTATTCAATTAAATTCATTTAATTTTGTTTTCATTAAAATTATTCTCTTTTCCTTTTGTTCTTTTAAATTCCACCCACATCCACCTCACCTCACCTTATTTAATTGATTTTTCTTTATATATTACATTTTGGTTTGGGTTCTTAAGATGCGTGTTTTTAACCCACCCTATCGTCAAACCCCGTCTTCGACTTTTTGTATTTTTCATCTTGTAGACGTGAACGTCGTCGTTTTTGACGGTCTCCTCCTTGTCCTCCTCCTCCTCGGTCGGCCGATTTTCTCAATCCCCATTTAGAATCGTCATTGGGTTGTTCTGTCTCGAATAAAGTGAACAAGATTCGTGAAAGATAAGTGAGACATTTATATTATACGAGATTCATCATTTCTTCTTTTTCTTGGAAAAGAACAAACATTTTTTTCTTTACGTCTAATACTATTTTACGGATTATTATTATTATTCATAATGATTTATTATTTCTATATCATTCTATATATATATATATAAATGACGTGTCACGTTGTTTGTCCGCAATGGACTCCTAAACTACTTAACTGATTTTAATCAAATTTTCCACACTGTATGCAATTTCATTCAACTTGAAAGATAGGATAGTTTATAATCTCAATTTATAATCGCAATATTATATTATTGTTTGTATTTATGTATCGGACTGATTGTGAGTTGCAGCAACGCGTTGCAAGGGGCACCCCTAGTTGTATATAATTAATTTAAATTATTTACACTGGACAAAAAGTTCTTTTCAAATTAATCAAACTCACCCCCTATCCAATGAAACAACTAAAATAAAATAACATGTGAGTGAACACACTCACCTACTTCTCATCCTACCCTAATAATCTTTTGACGTATTGTGATAATTCGTAAATATTGTTTATCTTGACGTGTTATCTGAGAGGTTCCCATTTACTTTAACACTGACATTGACTTTTTCAAAAGAAAAAAAAAAACAAAAAAAAAACAAAAAAATCTCCATCTCACTTTCTTTTTCACGGGGCCCTCAATCCAAGGCATGCACAAGAGACGTCTCTCAGACGTGGCCTATAATTCGCGCGGGCATCGTTCGGTTTTTACGATTGTCTGGCCATACCTGTGGCCCAGCAAAACTAGCCGTCGACTTTAAAAGTTCAACCCGGCACACGATGAACCTTCTTCTCTCTTTCTCTCTACTTACGCACAGTTACTAATAAAACAACATCATATATACGTATAGGGTGTTCGAAAAATGATCAACCAATTAACCAAAACCAAACTAATGAGATTACGTCAAATGTTAAATGCAATTTTTGTACGAATTTCAAATGTTTCGAATAAATTGAAGACTATTTTAAATCTATTTGATCTCATTATTATGTTATGTTAGTTTAGTTCTGATCTTTTTAAGTCACCCTGTATATCCACCCACCCATTTATACATACGTATACGATGTTCTTCGTTCGGGAGCATAAATCTCAACTTCTCTGGATGGTAATCGAATTTCATAGGACGTTAAGAAAGAAAGAAGACTATAGTTTCTTTCCACTTTCATATCTTCTCTTATTTGGAAGTAAGAAAAAGAAATAAAGAAAGAAGAAGGAGTTTGAATTTGAGTTTACAAAAAGCTCGTAAAAATGTTGTAAAAAGTTGAACACACCATAGTTATGTTTTTGTCTTTGATCTAAAAATTCTCTTTGATCTTAAAACCGAATGTTTAAAAGTAATCAAAAGATGATTTTAGAATCAATGCTATTAGAAAACGAGAAAGATGAGATAGTGAACGTATTGTTTGGATGACACTATCAACTATTACAGACAGGTGGTACAAACGCGAATATAACATGTTTGAGTTTGTATACTTAAGATCCTTCTTTCCTTCCTTCTATCGCTAATGATACGTAAGCTTTGGCAAGCAAAAATACACACTGGTCTAAAGTACTGAGAGAGAGAGAGAGAACCCTGTTTAAAAGCTAAGAAACAAAAACGTGAACTGCAAATTGAATGAATTTAACAAGAACCTGAGTGAATTTAACAAATTTCCACCCCGTAAAAAAATTGACAAGATAACAAAAATACAATGTGTTGTAAATAAATAAAATGTAAAATTATTTATCATTTACACACACACACACACACACACATAATATTAATTCAAACGAAAATATTCAAAGAAGATGATTGCAAATTGAAATGTTTCAAATAATATATAAATGTGTTTGTAATTAATTTTATCTTCAAATTTCAGATATATGAAATATTTATACGACTACGAATGCGATAGAAAAAATTTATCAACCCGTGAAGATTTACAATTAGCCATAGATGGTAATCGTCGTGAAGGACGTAGAAATACTTATGTACAATATCCATCTGGATCTGGTAGCGATGGTCAAAGAAATCAATCAACGTCATTGTCAATGCGTTCGAGAATATCGCCTAATGCCATGCAACTGCATACACAAATTTCACCACTTTCATTGGTTACGGCAGCCGCTGCAGTTACTTCAGCACAATCCATGGTCAATGGTAATTCGATGCATCCGTCTTTGGTGCAACATTCACAATTACCACAACTTCCACAAGCAACTTTGAATCATTCACAAAATTGTAAGTATTATTATTATTATTATTTATAATTATACATGTACATTAAAGCAAAATTTATCTTTATACATACCACCCCCACCCTAACCCCCAGAAAAAAAAACCTTCGAATTAATTGAAAAATTATTCACAAACGGGTCAATGTTTTGTAACAAACAAAAAAAAAAAGTAAATGTCGAATGATTGTTGTACACCGGATATTAAAAGTAAGAATAAACAAAAAAAAATAAAAAATAGAGAAAGAAAGATAGAAAGAAAGAAAGAAAGAAAGAAAGAAAGATTGAGTTTATTTTAAATCGTTAGTTAGGAGCCCACAACGATGACGTGTTAGAGAAAGAGAGATAGAAGATGTAATTGATTGTACGATCCTTGGAGAGACAGGCGTTAACGGATGACTCTTCCTAACGAGCATTCCTATTTCCCTACCTACCCCCGTACCCTACCCCCTCTAACCCCGTAGCCCATGTCCCCCCTTTACTCCTCTTCCCCATTCTCCTTCTCTTCTCATCCACTTCTTCTTCTTCTTCTTCTTTCACTCTATCTCTCTCTCAAGCAACCAACCAACCATCCAACCAACGAACCAACCCTCGTTCCAATTTTCTATTACAGTGCTGCTACCGTTTCCAATACTTCCCTCATTTACTATACCAAGTCATCCAAGAGAAAGAAAATAAAAGAAAAAAGATGGCTCGTATTTTTTTTTTTTTTTTGACAAATGTAACTTTTAGATTAGAATCTGTTTTTTTGTGTAAATGGTTAGGTAAATTGACGAATTGGTTTTACATAATTTTATACTTAAAATATAACCCTTAGAGTATATGTACAGTATGTAATAGAATTTGTTTTCACGTTGTCACCTAAGTGGGGGGTAAATGGGAGGAGGGGGTTAAAATAAAGAAAAATTATTGCATAATTCGATGTAATATTTATCGTCTTTGTAAAAAAATTGTTGTATTTTTCTTTTTTTGTTGAATAGTTCCAGTTTCCCTTACGAACGTAAATCCAAGTGAAATTGAAGCACGAATGGCAGAATATTTTAGGTTGTATCATAGAGATAGAATAGTTGCAACGGCAGGATCGTCACCATGTCAGCAAGGTACTTCGACACCAACCACAACAACCATACCCATATCTTCAAACATACAAACTTACGAAACATTGAGCAAATTTCAAGCAGTTTTTGGTAGTAATAACACGATTTACCCAGCAGCACTTGCGCATCATTCCTCTTTATCACCACAACCATCACAATCCTCGTTGCAACCTGTGCCAAGCCCAGAACCACAAAGGGAAGCATTGGATCTTGGTGTTAGGTAAGAAGAATATTATATTCATTTATGAGGATGATCGTCTAATCAATTTGATTTTAATGTGATTTGATTGTTTTGGTTTGCTTAGGTCATCATCCGTATGTTCCTCACCTTCTGTAGCTTGTGGACCAAGCCCATTATCTTCAACCAGTGGTCAACGAAAAAGGGATACGGATTCAGTTACGTCTGGTCGAAAAAGACGATTATCCGATGAGGATAAATCTCCAGAAACTGCTCAACCATCAACCTCATCTAATCCACGAAACATCAGAATTTGCACAGGCATGTTGTGCAAATTGAGCATGAATAATAATAATAATAATAATAATAATTCATACTCAATTCTATTTGATTACTTTATTAAAATGTATTCTTAACTTTCAATGAATTTTCTTATTTGTTTATTTTAGAAGCTAACAACGATGAGGGTTCATTGAACGTCAGTCTTACAATAGAAGATGCAACTTATCGAGGAGTCCTATTCTTTGATTCAAGATCAGGATCAAAATCAGATTCATCTAGTTCTAGAAGTCCACCAACGAATAATGACAAATAATTCACAAGGATATACCATAGTACGAATGAAATACTTTTAAAAAGTAATAGTCTGATTTAATCTCATTTAGTTTATATTCATATATATATATATGTATAGGTATATTCATCAAAGTTTATCAAATTAGTTGAATAATGCATGTATACCTTTTGGATATAGATTTTAAGTGTAAATTATTCTCAAACTTTTTCTATTCTCCAATCTTTTTCTATTCCACTCCCCTTTCTTATTGATTAGGGTAGAACACCCTTTGTATGTATCTAATTCTAAAATAAGTTGTAAATTTTATTATTATTCTTTTTTTTTTTTTTTTTTTTTTTTAATCGTTTGATTTGACATTAATATAAAATACTTTTATTTTTTATTTTTAGAGACTTATGCAATTTATAAATTGCATCTAAATTCTAAGGGAAATAAATTAGAGAATAAAAGCCCTCTTTTGTAATTATTTTATTTTATTGTTTCTTTTTTTCTTTATTTTTTAATTCTATGCAAATATATTTTCTAGTTTTTAGTTTTTAGTTCTTTTTTTTTCCTTTTTCTTTCTAATTTGACTATGACTCCTCAAGTTATCAGTCTGATCTTCTGATCGATATTTTGATAAGCTTTGATCTGTATTATAATTTGTTACGTATTTTACGCTAGAATATAATAATAGTAATAGAATAATTAACATTAATCATAATTATTATGAATAATTTAATAATAATAATAGTAATAATAATATCGATATAAATAAACAAAAAAAAAAATTAAAAAAAATTAAAAATATTAAAATTACAAAAAAAAAAAAGAAAAAAAAACAAACAATGAGGAAAATTCTTCAAATATTATTAATTATGTTTTAAATGTAAATAGTTGTAAATACCTATTAAATACAAATAATACAAAAATTAAAAAACGCAACTATTAATAATACTATTTAATAGGTAAATGTAAATAACAATGATTAAAAAGAAAAAATGTAAATAATAGTAATAGGTAAATTAAATAATACTTAAAAAAAAAAAAAAAAAAAATAATAATAATAATGATAATAATAACACGCTTGACTATATATAGAACCGCGTGATCTCCTAAAAATTACTATTATTATTTTTTTTTATGTTATATATTTAAATATACACATACACACATTTATATAAAACACTTCCTCTTATATAAATCAAAAATTTTGTTTGGAAATAAATTCTAATACTGTTAATAATAATAATAATAATTATAATAACAATACACATGTTAATATAATTATTATTATTTTTTTTTTTTTTTATTTTTAAAATTTTTGTTTCTTCGCCAACACACGTGATTTTTACATTTCTCACACAACGCGAATTTTGATTGAATTTATTTTAATTGCAATTAAAATAAATTCAATTATAATTACAATGATAATGATAATGATAATAATAATAATAATAATAATAATAATTACTATTATTATAATAATAATTATTTTATTATTATATATTATTACATATATTATTATCATTATTAATTATTATTAAAATCATAATAAGAATGATAAAAATAATAATAATTATAATAATAATAATAATACATGTAATAATAATAATATACATTTAAATAATAATCAGTATATTAATTAAATAATAATCATTATACACGTATACATATTTGTGTGTATATCACATGCGTAAATGTTTTCAAACATGCTACATAATAATTCTTCTTCGTTTTTTTTTTTTTTTGTAAATCAAGTTTTTGTAATAAAAATTTTAAAAATATTTTTTGTATTCTGTTTTTTATTTATAAACAAAAAATTTATATACATATATATATATAGAGGAGTTGTAACAGAACATGTGAAAAACCCTTTTCTTTAAGAACCTATTGGTGTACCCCTTTTTTTTTTTTTAAATAATCGAAATAATTCATATAATTGTAATGTTGTTCCAACTCTGTTTTTTTTTTATTTTTCATATATAAAAATTTGTTTAAAATATATTCACGAAACAATATTATAGTCTCACGTGTTCTCTTACGAGCAATATACAATTTGTCTATGTGTTATAGAAAAGAAAAAGAACAAAAGAAAAAAAAAAGAAACACCATGATGATGATGATTYATTTGAAATTTTCATTATGACAATTATTTAGTCAATTTTGTTCTATCCTAGGTGACGAAATAATTGACGATAAAAAGTATAATTGCTGGTCAATATGGAAAAGTAATCAACGATGTGACATCATCATTTACCATCATCCCAGTCCAGTTGAAGACACACAATCATTTAATAAAAAAACAAAATAAACAAACAAATTATTATTACACTTAATGTGAACACTTGATCGATTTTGCAAAATGAAAAATAATCAAAAAGATAATAAAAATTAAAGCAACTTGAGCTTACGATTAAAGAAAAATGTTTGTATACAACAACAACCAGCGTACATACATACAAACAAACAAATAAATGTAATTAACGTAATTATGATTATTTTATTAATTTTTCTTGTTTCAAATATTGAAAATAAAATACAATGTTTTTTTTGTAATATTATTTCCTATCTTTAAAACTTTTTTTGTTTTTGTTTTTTTTTTTACACAGAATTTATTTTTCTTCTTTTTATTTTATTCCTTTTTTTTTCATATCAGTACTTGGTATTGTTTTGTCCCTTATTTTTTATAACTTATTATTATTATTTTTGTATAATTTAATTTTCTTCTCCTTTAATTAATGTTATTGTCAATACAAAATTGTATAATTATTCTAAGATTATTTATAAATAAATAAGATACGTTAATGTGTGAGGATTATTAAAAAAAAAAATTACAAATTTAAATATTAAAATTTGAGATATTATTAAATATAAATAAATAAAGTTCAATTAATGGATCTACTTGTTTTTTTATATTCTGATATAAATCGTCAAATCATTTGTTGGTAAAAACTCGACTGTTGGTAATAATATTTCTCAAACAATGAACAAAGTTGTTCATCAGTTGATCAGTTGGTAACAGATCGACAGTAGTTAACAATATATATATTTCATACATTATTTATTTACAATAATTAATTTGCAACAAACATAAGTAACTTAATAATATCAATAAAACGTAAGAAAAAAATAATTAATATTTTTTTTTACAATCATACGTTTGTTTTTAAATAAACATAAAACGTTATTATCCTGAATTTTCTCGAATAATTTCGATAGTTCTATTTCTAAACTAAAAGGATGAAAATGTAGCATCATTTCCGGTTAGATTTTTCTAATGCTTTCTTTCCCCACTCTATTTCGTCCATTTTCTAATATATATTATTCCCATTGTAGAATCCTAGTCGTCGTCATTTTGTGCTTACCATCTTTCGAAGACGAAAGTTAATCCTACATTTGAGAGCGTTCAATTGTGAATTATAATACGGGGTTGAAACATCAGTGAGTTTAATTAATTTATTTCAAAGTAATTATTAGAAATAATATTTTGAATAAGTTTCATTAATTAATCGAAGAAAATTTGGAAATTTCAGTTTGAGCAGATAAAGGAAAACAAAAAAAAAAACATTTAGTTTCATTGGAAATTATTCTAAATTCAAACAAAGGAAGTAAAAAAAAAGTGGGGAGTTATCAGCCATTAAATAGAAATTCGATCTGATTTGAATATTTTCACGATAAAAGTGCGTCTGTTAATGAAATATTATTTTGATTATTATAATCTTTAGTGTGTTATTTAAAATTGGCAATTAAAAATAGAATCATCGATACAATGCTTAAAATGAATGAAATTGATTCGTTAGATTCGGTAGATTTGGAAAGTAGTCCTGCTAAATATAATATTGATAAAATAATGAAATATGAAAAAGTAGGAAAGAGTGGTAAGAATTGGATTAAATTAGAAGGTAAATTATTTCTAATAGAAAAATATGATATCAAAGGTAGAGGAGAATTGGCGATCACGATAGGCAATCAATTGAATGAAGTGTATTTCAAGAAACCACCTAAGATGTTAAATGATAATTCTACTACAATGAATAATAAAACTGAACAAAGTGAAAATAATGATGACAAGCTAATAAATGAATTTTTTGGTAAAACAAACAAACGTCGAAAGAGTAATGAATCTGATGAAGATTTGGATTTTGATTTTAATTATGATTCTGATTCTGATTCTGATGCTTATATTGATGCTGATAAAACTAAAAAAGATATCTGGGTTAAATTAATTCGTAAAATGATTAGAGAAGGATATTTCCAAATATCTGATGATGTAAATGTGAAAAATTTGGCTAAAGAATTACAAGAAAAAGTATTAGAATCTGCTAAACGTTCGTTAATCGATGCAATAGATGAATTAACACGAATCGATTTGTTGGCATATTTAAAAGTAGTAACTCCTAATTTGATCATAGATGTAATAAATAAACAATTAAATTCAAAGATTAAGATTAAAGTTGTTAAATCACCGGATTTGGTACGACTCGGTGTAATAAAACGTAATGCACCAGATTGGCAAGAGCAAAGTATAGAAGAAATCCTTGAGTATGATAAAACTTATGATATAAGTCAATTAAATAAAATAGTTCCGGCTATAAATTATAAAGGTATAGGAAAATATTCACAGAAAATTACTGAAACAGATGAAACTCACAGAAAATCTAATTCAGCTAAGGTAAGAATGGTACAACTTCTTTTTCTTCTATTTTTATTTTTTTTTTATTTATTTTTTTTTTTTTATTTAAAACTGTTAACAATTTATTTTATATTTCGTTTATTTTTGGAAGAATATTTTGTTCTCCTATACAACACCACACCAACACACATTATCTTTATGTAATAATATATATATATATATATAGATTCATTAACTGTGATGTAAATATTACGAAGTAAATAGAACGCAGAATTGAGTAACACGAGTTTATATGACCTAGAAAGAATAAATTTAGAAAAAAAAAAAAAAAAAAGATAGAACGTAAATTCACGCGTTTGAACGAAACGAATAATAATAATTGAAAATTGAAATACGATTTAATAAGATTAATATAATTTCAAATAATTATTAGTATTAATAATTTTTTTTTGTTTTATAGTTTAATGAATATATTTTTCTATTTAGACTACTTTTGAATAGTTCTTTTCCATAATCCTACACTTACATTAATTGTTTATCAATTATCAAAATTATCGTATATTTATTTTTGAAAAAAAAAAAAAAGAAAAAATATTCAATTAATGATATTAAAAGAAACAATTTGTCATTTTTAGATGGATTTAAAAACTATGGGATCTTGCCATAGACGACCAGTCTTTGCTGATAGTTTCTTTAGATTTATGAAACTTTCCGGTAAGTGTGTAAATTTTAATTGAACGTTTATGATGAATATAATAATAATAATAATAATAATGATGATAATAATTGTCAATTTGTATTTTGTATTTTTATATATTTTTGTTTGCATTGTTTTTGCTTTTAGGAACACCGATTCTCGAAATACCAAAGATTAACGGAAGACAATTAGATTTGTTCGTACTTTACAGAGATGTTACAGGTCGTGGTGGTTATGAAGAAGTTACGAGAAAAAATCGTTGGAAAACTGTAGCGGAAAATTTAGGAATAGGTGGAAATAGCAAAGACGTGGCAATATTAAAAATAATGTAAGTTATTACCTATTTCAAATATTACAATTTGGATAATTAGAAATGTTAATCCTTTGACTGTGGTGCTCTCTGAAACCAATCCATTAATATGAATGGCGCAATTTTCGCATGTCAGTCGTTGCAACTGTTTTTCCATTGACTAACTGACCAAGACAAATAATTAATGGCAAATGAAATAAAAATATGAATTTTTTTTTTAAGTAATTTGTTAACCCTTAAAGTGCACTGTGGGTGTTTGACACCCCAACGTTTTTAAACGTGTCTCCTCCTGAAGCCGCTATTTAATATTTAGATCTCGCAATTTGTTTTAAAAGTAGTTTGATACGTCTTTTTTTTTGAAATAGAATAAGTTTTATATCCATATGAATTAACACTAGATGGCACTAGTGCCAAATAACCCATTTTTTCGAATTCAGTAACGTTTTCGAGAGATCCAAAATTGTATTATTTTATTATTAATTATTTTCTATTTTATTTCAGGTACAAACAATACTTACATGCATACGAATGCGAACAAAAATCTCCCTCATTAATAAAAAATATGATAGAAGAAATAATGACAAGTAAAGAATATTTTGACTTTATTTCTAACAAATTTGGTATGATATTAGCAAAAGAAATGCCTAAAATTGATTATAAATTGAACAAAAGAAAAATGTTAAACATTATGAAGAATCCATGTTTAAGAGAAATTACTGAATTAATGTTATTTAAACAAGAATTAGAAAATAGAATGTATGAATCTAATAAGTCATTATCATCGTCATCATCATCATCATCATGTGTTACAATTCCAAAGAAACGATCAAAAATTCCCAAAAAAGGCGAATCAACAAATGCTAAAACTAAAAATAAACTGTCTTTAGAAAAATTAATGCAAATAAAACAAGTAGTAGAACAAACTATTGAAATTCAAAAGCAGCTACAATCAAAAGTTCAAACAAAAGACAAGTTAATTGATCAAACTGAAAGTAAGGTATCTTCAAAAACATTAAATGAGATAAGACAATCATTAGAATCATCACGACCTAAATTTACTACAGAATACGTGTTAAAATCATTAACACAAAATGAATTGTTACAAATGGGTTTCCATTTATTTGTACTAACTTTTCTTCTATTTTCTGCCATTTATTTCATTTATAAGTTATCCTTAAATCTATTTAATTCAATATGGTAACATGAGTCCATGTTAAATGAAAATGTCTGAGTTAGACATTTGTTAACATTTTGGTAACATTTTTTTACTCGATTATCGATATTATTATTATTATTATTATTTTTTATCATGACGTTTTGGTTTTGTCCATTATTTATAAATTGAAATTTTTTTGTTATTTCTATTTTTAAATTACTTGATTAATAATCAATGTTACTTTATTTAATAAGTTTACACAAAATACATTGTATCTTATTTTTGTAATGGAAAAACTGTGAAAGTTTTTCCTTTTTTCAAATTATAATTTCAAGACGCGTAAAACACAATGATTTAAAAAAAAAATTATTATTATTACTATTATTATTCTTTTCTTTTTTTTTTTTTGTATTATATTTGACGTAAACTCAAGAAATGTAAGATTTCTTTTGTTTAATTAATTAAAACGTATATTTTATTTATACATATATTGACCAATATGTGTAATATTGAAATAAGTTTATCTCAAGTGTGTTTATTTTGTTTATTTGTTTTTTTGATAACAATTTGATTTGTTTTTAACCAAAAAAAAAAAAAAAAGAAAAAAAATAGACACATTTTAATTAGATAATATTATTAAGACATTGCATTTAATTGAATTTGATTATAATTTATATGACAATGAAAATGACATATTTTCAATTTAATATATATATTTATATGAAGTATTTTTTTTTATTAAGTAATATATTTTAAATGACATCAATTTTTAATCGGGGAGTAAAAATTTTTCAATATATTGTTTAATATTGAATTGACAATTGTTTGATTTGTAGCAAGAAGAAAAAAAAAAGCATTTGCTAAATCATAAATGTTTTTGATTTTTTTTTTTTGTTGTTGTTGTTGTTCATGTAGGTATTATTATAATATATATTTTAAATTGTTTAAATAATTACACATTTCATTGTTAATATAAATGTTAATTAATTTTTAATGTCTTCAATTATATTATCTACTTATTCGATTATTATCATGGACAAAACTATTAACGTCATAAAATTTAATTAATATCATTAATTAATATCAATGAAAAAGAAAGAAAGAAGGAAAGAAAGAAAAAATTTACTATTTGACTTTTTTTTTCTATTTTTAAACATATTTTTTACACGTGTGTCTGTAGAATTAAGTGAAAAAAAAAAAAAAGTAAAAGATAATCAATTGAAAATTTAATAAATGATATTTGCAAAGCATGAATGAAAAGTTGAAAAAAAAAAAGAAAAAAAAAGGAACCAAAAATGAGAGAGTAAAAGACTGTAGGCCAAGGAATTTGTAATAAAAAAACAGAAAAATGATCGTATGTTTAAAACATTCTCGTTAAAAAAAAAAAAAAGAATATAAACGATTATTATTAAAAAGATAAAAAAAACTTGATTGAAGAAAGTGATTTAACTCTTTGCTGCACAAAATTTCAGATAATAAAATAGCGCCCCCCCCCCATGTTGCCTAGAAATTTGATTGAATTTTAAATGAAACATAATTGTGGTATATAGTTTTATTAATAATTGTATTACATAATGTAAAAACATATTAAACAAAGAAAGAATAATAATAATTTAATTACCTACATTTTGTAACATTTGTTGAAAATGTTACAATACCAATTGTTTAGCATAAATAACACGAAATATAAATTTATAAGAATGTAACTATTGCAATATTTTGAGATTGGACTAAAAATGGTCCCACTGTGTATTTACGGTGTATCAAAAAATTGGGACTCTTAGTCCCACCGTGCTCCAAAGAGTTCAATGAAACGTAAGCCACATTTTAAAAGATTTTAATTCTTTTTTAAGCATTATCGTATTTTTATATATTTCATACTTTGTATTAGTGTTTAATTACTTAATGTTAATAAATTACTATTTATCGTACGAATGTTTAAACTTTTTTTTTTTTTAATTTATTTCATATAATAAATAATATCCCTTTTTTGTTTTATTAACTTACAAGGTGGTGATAGTTACAACCATAAGGGAGTGAAGTGGAGAACTGAGCCGGACACCTGGCTAGGGTCTCAGTAATGATAGGTGAACGAGAAAGGTGACAGAGTTGAGACCTCTGCATTCGCATTTCGCAGCAGAGAAAGACCACCCAGTCCGATGGTCAGACGATTGAACTTAGACTCAACAGTTTACATTTCTTCTTCTTGTTCTTGTTCTTCTTCTTCCTGTTCTATGCTAGGCAGGTCACCTGTTCATTCTTCGTCATCTTGCCTCCTGTGCATTCAGGTTGTTGTTTCAGCGTTTTCTAGGTCTCTGCCCTGTTCTTTATGGTCTAATGGAGATTTGTCATGTGTTACTCTGACTATTCTCTCTACCCTCATTCTGCTTATGTGTTCATTCTACAGTTTACATTTGTAAATGAAAAAAAATTATATACAATATAAGATATACTTTAGTTAAATGAATTTTACAACCAATAAGAAGTTTAGATTGACAAGTATGCTTGATCATTGGCAAGTGTAATTTTGTTTATTAATTGAGTGCTTAAGGTACAATAGATTATTTAGAATAATATGAAACATAAATATATGATTAACAATTAGTAGAAATCATTTTATTAATTACAAATTATTATAATTATTTTGTTTAGTTTCATTTTGATTTGGTGCAAAAGAATAACATTGATATTTAATTCAATATGAAAATGTATTTGGTGATAAAGTTCGATTGAAAATTCGTTAAATTTAAGATTTGGTGTGTTTAATATTAACAATTGTATATCTACAAACGTATTTTTAATCACCATGTCAAAAGTTCACGACGATTATGCACAAGGATCATCATTTAGTGATAAGAATAATGAAATTGTAAGAAATGTATCAAATGAAAAATGCAAATCAATGCATCATGAAGATATAAAAAAAAAAAAGAAAAAGAAAAAGAAAATACTTAAGAATAAAACAAATATAATTACTGATAATTCCATCAACATTGGCAAAAAACAATTTCAAATCGAGGAATGTAATTCGAATGATGATAATATGACAAAAGATAAAATAATTGTAACGATAGGTAATAAAAAATATGAACTGTTAACTAGGAAATCGAATAAATTCGAAACAAAGGACAAATCTGATGTTTGTATAAATAAAAGAAATGAACAGATGATGATAGATAATCAATCTATTAAATCAAATGAATCACATGAAATAAAACTGCCACTCGTTATAAAACCTGTACTTTCACCATGGTATAATCATGAAAGTATAATACAAAAATTAATATCTTATGATAAGGAATATTACAAATGTATGAATGAAGATACTTTCAAATGTTTACAACGTATGCAAGAAATAATGAATGTGTTTATAAAAGAATCTAATGATGAAGTATTCAGTGATGAAATGTTTGTAAATCTTTTGGATAAATTAAAAATGAAATTAGGTTTAAATGATGAAACGTTTGTAGCAACTGTTTGTGCATTACGTAAAAAATTTCAAGAATATTTATTAGAACAAATAAAATCTATAATTAATGAACAAGTAGAAAATAAAAAACGTATAATAATGGGATATCCAGCATTAACAAGATTCAATTCAAACTTTGGAACAATGGATGATGTTAAAAAAGAAATTATTATGAAGGAATTAGATTCGTTAACAGAATATAATGAAAATCAATTAGCTTTGTTAGATGATCTGGATATAAGTCAATCGGATAGGGAAAGTGAGGAAACTATGTCAACCGCAGAAAGCTTTGAAAGTATTAATGCTTGGGTAAGAAAAAAAGGAACCTTTTTTACTTTGTACTTTGTAAACTTGTGTAATTAATAAATCAAATTTATTTATCATAGACAGAACTAATATCTATGGACTTATTTAACAGCGAACGTATACTCTTTACCGAAGATTTATTTAAATTTATGAATTTACGTGGTAAATAATATTGTTCAAATTAACAAACAATTTTACATTTCTATGAAGATAAAATAAATATTTAAGTTAACACAAAGTTATGATAAATCTAATTACATTATCTAAAGAAATATATTGTCTCTTATGATTTTATATATTTTTCTTGTTTACTCAGGTGTGCCAATTGATGATCTACCTGAAATTAATGATCAAAGGGTGGATATTATTTTACTGTATAAATTGGTCGTCTCACGTGGCGGTTTTGTCGAAGTAACAGACTTAAAACTTTGGACAGAAATTTATAAAATAATGTTTAACAAAAATTACAGAATAAATTATCATATTTACGGTTATAGTCCAAAAATAGGTTCATTCTTTTTACAGCATTAGTATGTGATTCTTTTTTTTTGCTTTTTTTTTTTATCTCAAATTTATTACATTATGAAACTTTAACATTAAGATTTGATTTGTTTTTTATTGTTTTTTTTTTATTTTTTTTTTATTTTTCATTTTAGTTATAAAGTATATTTATATCCGTATGAACAATCGAAAGAAATGTTTACAACTTCATTGAGATTATTATCAGCAGATGATGTTTATAATGAAAAGTGTAATAAAAAAAAACCGTCTAAACGCAAAAAACAATTGGATTACAAAGGAACAGAATTGTCAAAGGAAGCAATAAAAAATTTAGTTAAATATTTAAGATCCAATAATAAACGTCCTGATCCCGATTTATTTTCAAAATCGATAACATATATTTTAGAAGAACAATACAATATCGATGATAATGTTGAAACGATTTCTACGACAAATGAAATTATGGAAATACCAATGAATCTTGAAACTCAAACGTATCCCGAAATTTTCTATTTTTTTGTTTATTTTCTTTTAATTATTATTTGTTTCTATAATTTTTTTTTATATCTTCTTTCGATTTATTTCATTTGCAATACTAAATTAACAATAATGATTAATCAAATTTATTGATTTGATATTAAATGTGCTAGAATAATTTCATTTAATTAATTACATCTTTTTGTTTGTTTAGTTTCTCAGACAAAGAAGTGTATTTAACACCTGATTCGTCACCAATCGAAAATTATTTTTCATCAGTCGAATCTCAGTC